ATTTCAGATGGTAAAATTGTGGGTGAAATAGTGAATGGAGGCGAAACAGCCCAAGTAGTTACCGATTCCATCTACAACGACGGACGATGGCATACGATCTACTGGGAGGCGGACACTCATGGAATGAGGCTGCGAGTCGATGGCAGGACATCCGAAACTAATGCTACACTCATATTGCCCAACGCTCATCAGTGGACAATAGGTTAGCTATTCAAGGCGCTTCACAAATAGTTTGCGAGACCTAAAGATTACTAGAATAAAAAGTGGTGGCTAGAATGAAAAGTGGTGGCCAGCGGAAGAAAACCTTCCTGTTGTACGTCACGATTTCATTTCCTCTCAGAATCGATATGAAACTTGGGACGCTGGTCGGTTTGGAGGGGACATTTTGCGCTTTGGCTTCTGTTAGTGCACGTTAGGTATAACAGTTCTCTTTTGCCCTGTAAACTCATGTAGGGCTGCGGAAGATTGCGAGTGGGACACTTCAGTTATAGGACTTCACAGGTTTTTCCAAGATGGCCTGTACAAGCTGAGCTCAGTACTATTCGGTGCCTTTACTAAGCGGAACTGCGCCAAATCGGTTGCACAATCGGCCTTTAAGTGAGCTTGTGGCCGTTTTTTTAATCTCCTAAGTGGTCTGAGTCATTGAGTGACAAGGGAGAAGATACTCAGTTAGCCTGGGGGTTCAATGTCAGTCGGAGCTTCCGACCACTAGGAAACTTTAGTGCCTTCAGTTTATGACCTTACTAAAAGCAGAGGAAATATTAATATTACGGTCTTTTTCGCTATGGATGCTGAGGAGTGTCAGGGGCTAGGTTTGGAGCAGCATCAGCCCGTTCTCCACCAATTTTTGTCGCCTGTCTTGTCTATTAACTGGTGAAGAACAGGCCGACGCTCTAAACCCAACCTTGCCGACACACCCCGCATCCACAGCGAACAAGATTGTAATACCATATCTAGCTGTTTTAATGATACCACTCTTGCTTTTCTCTCTTCCTTCGTGTGTTCTCTTTCAAAGATAGGAATTCGAGCCATGTTCTACCCCTCTGTCATTAAGATTCTAGGAAACTGGCGCTGAACTGATGTTTATTTCAAAAATGGGCACATCTCTGCTTAGTGAGGGCCTTTTGCTGGTTACCATGGAGCACTGCCGATTTCCCCTGAGAGACCTGTAAAGTTCCGCAATAGCACAGTAGCAAGGACTTCGTGTACACTTGACAAGCGTACAAATCTTACCAAACTGAGACGTGCTGTTCAACAGGAACTACCAAAAAATTTGGTGAATGTGCATAATGTCCCTCTCTAAGTAGAAGTGCCTAAAACCGTGTTATCTACCGCCTACCGTATCATTTACCATTCATTTCAGGTTCACGAACAGAACGTGGATCATCGGGTTTTGCTGGCGTTATACGAAGTGTCCATCTATGTGGAGAAGAGCTGACGTTGAGCTCGATTGTCAGAAAAGACTATGATAAAGGTTTCTTTTTTCTCAATTTCCTTCGGATCTTGGAATGGGGCTTCTCAAATTGATTTTTGTAGTGCCACAGCTTCTAAGTCTATATATTTATCAGCCTTCAATAGTTATCTATTTGTGTGAAGAGTGCGTTCCAAGAAGACGCCGCTAAATAGTTATAGGCAATAACAAAATTCCCAACAATTTCTTGGAAAAGTGGGCGGAGTGGGCGAAGGGACGAACAAGAGGTGTCAATGAAGACCATCTGGATCATTCATCCCAGTCTGTATTAAAGTCCAATTAATAGTCTTTGCAGTCCCTTTGACTGAAGTCAGGTGGGGCGTGTCAGTGGAGCGTGAACTTTGGCGCCGCACTAGCCCGTTTTTCGCTGATCGCTGCGGCTCCGGGCGTTCAGTGAGTGATGGGAGAGTTAGCCGCGCCACAACCCTTGTCTCGCAGACACGCCTCGACAGCCTTCAGTGACAACGCCTATATGTGCGAAGAAGCAAAGCTGTGAAAATTTAGCGCGAACAGAAACCATATAAGGGAATTCCAGTGGGCGTGAGGATTTGAGGGAGGACTTGGCATGATGCCCAGTGTGTTCAGGGATAGTGGAGATGACGATGTACCAGGGGTACATGAAGCCGGATAATTTCATAAGAAACCTTTTGTTCATCTACGCTAATATAATATTTAGGTGTTCATATTGGCGAAGAGGGATACTGCCGTGTGGGTCTCTGCAAGAATGGAGGTGTTTGCGTTGATAAATACGATGGCTACACCTGTGACTGCACACAAACTCCATTTGGAGGCAGTGACTGTAATAAAGGTAAGTTGACTGTAGTTGAAACAGGTGTTCTTGTCCCAGATCCCGGCATAATTTCTCAAATTCGATCGCGTCATTTATAGATAAGAAGTAAATACAGTAATACCATGTCACATGCCCCATTATTCGAAAGTTGTGAAGTTAAATGACTAGAAAGTACAACGATGGCCTTGCATTCCAAAAAAAAGAAGTGGTCACAGTAAGGGTTGGCTCATGAGACTTTGCTTTGCTGACTTGAAGTTTTTGGTTCAATGACTGATAACTTGTGAGAGGGTTTGGTAATGAATTGCGGACGTTTTGATAGAGAATTCCTTGCTCATTCAGGGGTATTCCTAGTTTTTGAAGAACTGAAGATGGCTCGGTCGGGTCTGGGCGGGCGCCGATCCGGTATTTGACCCCACCTACAGCACCTCTGTCCCACTGTAACAGCAGCCACAAATAAATAAACTCGAAATCCCTGAGATCGGGTAGGCGTGGCTGCGTACTTAATTTTAAAATGGCGGCCCAGGTTTTCGTGAGATATTTTCATTTTGGAGCAGTCGTAATCATGTCTACATCTAACACAGAACAAGATAGCAGTTGTTTCAAATTGAAGTATCCCACGAGAAACCCGTCCTATGCCATGCTCAAAAGCCACGCCTACTCCGTCTCAGGGATAAGGAATGTGAGACAACCGTAATGTGAGTAACCATAATTTTCAGAATACAGCATGTTCGTTCCGGCTGGTTCCTTCCTGCAGATTCCGTGGCAGAATCCAGCTCATACTAATAACTGCCATCAGATTGCCATCCAGACCAGCGTCACCAACGTCTCGCTGGTCAAATCGAAAGCTCTCTTTGCTGAGTCAACCTTCAACATGTCCATCACTCCGCAAGGTTTGATTTACTTCGGCTCACTTTGACTATCGTCCATATCGGAAAGCAAAAAGGGGTGTCTCTGCGTGCGCTCTTTCGTCTGAACCCTCGCCGTCCGCTCTCTGTTGTAGCAGCCACGCCCCTTGCTGCTCTCAGACATGGACTGTTTTTCACGCTAACAATTCGATTAACACATTCCTTTCAGGACACCTGACGTTGTCGGTCTATGACGGCTTTTTCTTTCAATCACAAAGATTCCGAGAAACGATGGAATCTCAGCGATAATATCATGCATGACATAGCCTTCTGTGCATCGGACACAAGCTTTAATCTAACGGTGAGTTGCGGAAATTCCCACAGTAATTACTGTAGTTTATTAAAATCAATGTGAAATCAAAATAAACCTATGATTTTTGAGTTTGGTTGGTCACACTTTTTTGAAAAAACTGAAGCTCCACGCTTTACAATATGGCCCTTCTCCCATTAGTACGCTGACGTCGAAATATGTAATTGATTTTGCGCGTGCAAATAAGAAATATTAATAACTTTGTCGCCAACAGGAGGCAGGAGTGGTTCAGGAGGTCCACGTTTCGCCAAAGTACAGAAAATTCACAATACTGGTTTGACTGACTGCACGCCAGGCATGGGCTGGTGTGAAAGAGGTGGACATTATCGAAGGCAATCAAAAATGCAGCAGCATTTCCCCTGTTAAATAAACAGGGCTTGGTGCGAATGTCGCGAATGTGACATCGCTAGCAATACTGTTGTCGCCATGTGACCGCAGCAAGGGTCTTCCAACTTATACCATCTTGACCAGTTCGAAGGGTGCCTTCTGTCGTAATGAAAGTCCACGACCCTACAGGTATCGCCTGAAAATAAGGGTTTCCGAGACTTTGCCTCGCTCACTACGTGTCATTCTTTCTTACGATTAAGTCTTTGATTTGATGGGAACCATCAATACAATTCGAAGGAATTGGACATCCTCTTCCAGCCAACTTCAGTTTGGACATTCATGGACAAAAGTAGGTTGAGTTCTTTCGAGTTTTGCTGGTCTCAATAACGCCATTGCAGATTACACTGGTTGCGTGTCACGGATGCGGGTGGGATCGTCATTCCCACTCAAGAATCCCAAAGCAGCTCGTTTGAAACACTCCGGGAGAATTACGTTTTCGGAAGTTGTTCTATGGACATCATGTGAGTTCAGTTGAAAAAAAAATGGTTTGGCTGTGAGATCCACATTACTGTGACGCATATGTGGATTCATTGCCGGCATTACTCTATCTTTACCTTATCATCACTCTTCCCTTTACGCCACTTTTACCTCGGGACATTTTCAGTAGATTCAGCCTGAAAAGATTTCGCTTTCGAATAAGCTCAAAGGTGTTTTGTATTTTTTTGGTTTCAAAAACTTTTTCAGCGATACACGGCAACCTTCAACAAGAACTCCCAACGACGAAGGCATTCATATCCACGCCATAGCTCACGCCAAACATCACATCATCTCCGTCACTTGTAAGTTGAAGTTGCTGTTTTTTTTCAATTTTTAACCCTACTCATTCAAAAACGTTAGAGCACTCCGAAAGCTTGGCCTCATTTTATTGTTATAACTGATGTTTAAGGACGCAGTTCGCACCCCAAAACTTGTCACAAGAATGCTGTGGGCGAAAGTTTTGACACCAGGTGGGACTCAGATCTGCACCTCACGCTTTGCGGGCGAGCCCCTTATCCGTTACGCCAGAGCCGCTCACACCCATTACCTTATCGCCAGGTCCATTCTTTCCTTCTCAGCCCTGCTGGTAAGATAATAGGTGAGAGCGAGTTTCTGAGCCATGGAGCTGAGGGGGTAAGAGTGGCCCCGGTAGTGTTAATGGGTAAAAACCATGTTGGTGGCGCGAAGGATAGCATCCTGAAAGCTTTAGGTGCGTACGAATCCCGCCTGGGATCAAGACTTCTGCCCGATAACTCGGCATTCTTGATAACTTAGCCTCAATATTCTGAAACATTTCAGCGATTATCGGTTTGGCGGTGGCCGGCCTGTTGGCGTTGCTGCTCGCGATTCTTGTGTGCTGAGATCTCGTCCAGAAGGCGTGTACAAAACGAACGAAGGTGAATACAGTCCGTCACGAAGTGAAGAACCGTTGGTGAATGGGGTACCAGTTGGTGGAAAGGAGTACTTTTGTTGAAGACCGTTCCACGATGGATGGATGGGCGGAGACTCATGACCACTGCGCTTTTCTCATTGGTGCGCCCGATTCGAAGAGAAGGACACACTAATGAGAAGGGCAGAATGGCCCATTCGATTATTGTGGAACGTGTCTTTCCTCTCCTTAGAGCAGACTATTAAGCCGACCTCACTTCTAGTACTTAAGGTGTACTTTGGTAGCTGACGAAATTTTTTTGTGATTTCCGATCTCGTCTTTCCTTCACACATATTCCGGGTTTAGAGACCAACTCTGCATCATGTTCATACTGTACTTTTGTAAATCATTCGAAACGGGTATTCTAATAACGTGCAGTAAAACGTGCAATAAAGCTTTTATTAAAAAATGTATGTCACGACAATTTTGATCACAATATGAGGCAATGTTCCAAAGATAAAACTGGGTTAGCAGGTTAGAAGTAAGATAGAGAAAGATCCACAGTCGTTTTTGCTGCAGGCGCTGAAGCGTGTGGGGGGGGGGGCTGGGTTTGACACGTCACTAGCACGTTCTCCATCAATTGTTGAAGCGGGCAAGCGACCACAATTGGTAGAAAACAGGGTAGTTCTGCGCCACCCTCTCCTCATGGCACGCCCCAACATACAGCGAATCCTTATATAGAACTTTTGTGATTATGTAAAGAGAAAATGACACAAATACAGATATGCATAGTATTAGGAAAGTCAGGTAATCACAGATAGTAAGGGATCAACCTAATTGATGGCAGTTCCTCTTGCAATTCCTTAGTCTTTTCGACTAGAGGATTCTCGCAGTAGAGGAATCTTTCCAACGAACACATGCCCCTCAGAGCAGGCAAAACACATTCTGCTTCATCCAGCTGACAAGCGCCTAGCGAAAGGAATTTCAGGTTGCACAAAGTGGAAGTGGCGGATAGTCTGAAATAGTCATTCAAAAACGATGTAATATCCCAGCTTGATGCTTCCTTGGAGTGCGTTCATACT